TTAGGGTTTATTATTATTATTATTATTATTATTATTATTATTATTATTATATTTATATTTTAATTTGAAATGAAATAAATTTGATATATTTGATTAAGAGATTATTATATTTGAAAACACTTAAAACGCCTAAACATTTTTTTGAGTATTTTCAAAAACATATTAATTTATTTTTTTAAAAAAAATAATAAACAAAAATAACAGATGAAAAAAAAAATTTGATCCTAACAATCTTATCAAATATTATAGAAATCTATTTAAAAATTTAAATTATTTTATATTTTGATTTGAAATGAAATATTTTTGATATGTTTGATTAAGAGATTATTATTTTTGAAAACACTTGAAACACCTACTAAACATTATATTGAGTACTTTCAAAATCATATTAATTTATTTTTAAAAACAAAATAATAAACAAAAATAAAAAATGAAAAAAAAAAATTGATCCTAACAATCTCATCAAATACTATAGAAATCTAATTTTTTAAAAAAAAGTGTTCATAATCAGATGAAATTAGACGGGTAAAAAAGAGACTCGAGCCACTGCTCAACTTAAGTTTGACCTTGATTAATTAAAGTTTGAACTCAAGCTCAAGCTTATTTTTACAGGTTCAAGACTTTATTATGAAAGAGAGAATGATATATATTAAAGCTAGTGTTATTATAAAATGAATAACAAGCAATAAATAATAAAAAAAACACTTTTTATAAAAGGTAAAATATTTTTTTAGTTTTTTAATAATTTAAATATTAAAATTTATATTTAAATATATTTTACAAGTAGTTGGCCTCTACCTATTGTTGAAAATGAGCATGCTACTTAGGTTGTCTTTACTCATTTTCTGTCCCATTTGCTCGTCTTTTGTTCTATAGAAAATGAGTGCTTCATAATGTGGGCTACGGTTTTGCATATTTGCTATTTGTCTGCGGCTGATGCATCATTGTAATGGAACAAATCAGGAAGCAAAAAGAGAATGAAATTGACTAAAAATTAAGGGCAAATTTGCATAAAGTTTTGGCAGTTGGTGTGGCTCGATCTGTATTAATCGAAGGTATGGAGTTCAATATAAGTGAGGTGATTGATGAAGGAGAAACTCTAGTCATATACAGTAAATTTGTAAACATAAAAATAAAAATGCAAAGCTTGACACATAAGCATCCAAATTACTCCAGGAATTAGGATGTCAAATCTCATCTAATTCATTAAGACATTTTTTTGGCATATTTCCTCATTTGTTTTAGCTTTTCTCATTGATATATATATAACCATTAAGGGAGCAAAATAACTAGCTAGGGTTTAAGAAAAACAAAAGGAAGGAGAAAACTTTACAGTGAAAAAGGAGCTAGTTATAACTACTGATATTATGATTAGGATTGTAAATGAGCAGCGAGGCGAGTGTTTGAAATTTTTTGTGAACAATGTGTTTCTGTTCGGCTCGATTTATATATTCTTGTTCGTTTTCGGCTCAAAATTGGCTCATTTAAATTAATTATAAAAAATTAAGAGTGAGGTGTTGGATTCGAACATGTACCAATTCTGTGCAATAAAATGCGTATAACCACATGACCCCACTAACTATTACAATTTAAACTTAGAAATAAATCTATACAATTTATTATTATATAAAAAACACATGAACTATATTATTATATAAATACTCTATATATCTTTTTTTTATTTCGAGCTAAAACTAGCGATTGAACAAATGATTGCTCGAATTTAACTTGTT